CCCTAGAGCTAGACGAGGCGACGCAGCGTATTTCTGAAACGCAGAGATTTGCGAGGAATGCGGTGCTGGTATGTCACTCGAGCATACGAAAGCCACCTGTGTTTGATTAAGGTGCAGTCTCGCTTTCAGGACTAACTGGGTATTCTTTCCAAATATTTTTCACAAGCCTTAAATTCCTGTTTGGGGATGAGAATTTCCTAGATCGGTAGCCGGATAAAAACATGCTGCCTTGGTATGACCTGGTGCGTGTGCTGCCCGGGTAGGTTGTGCAGAGGAGTTACTGGCACTGCAGAAGGTGGCATGTGTCCTTTGGCACCGCACGGTACTTGAGAGTAGATCTCTTGCATGTGGGGACTGTCAGATCCCAGGGCCCTGTAAAACCACTGTTTTTGGGAAATTCGCTGCAGTTTTAGTGTAGCACTCGCCACATCAGTGATACGGAATGCTGGATGTAAAGTTTTGGAATATTCTGTAACTGTCATTTTTAGAGGGTGCCTGGTTTGGGCCTGGTTCTGCCCTCTCTGAAGAGCTTTGTCATTGATTCTGATGAAAAAGAGGCGTTAATACGGTAACAGTGCAGAGCAAAATTAGTGGTTTGTAATCTTAGAGTGTTTATTTACAATGATACTCACTTATTTTTTTCTCGTCTGTTTCAGCCGAACAACCTTGTTCACCTTGGAGCCACAGATATTGGTGATTTGAGATTTGAGCTCATCCCCCACTGTTCCTGCACAAGCAAGGACCAGAAAAATGAATATCCAGGGGAAAGGCTTCCCCTTGGACCTCGGAGGAAGCTTCACTGAAGATGCTCCTAGGCCACCGGTCCCTGGTGAGGAGGGGGAACTCGTGTCCACGGATCCGAGGCCAGTTAGTCACAGTTTCTACTCCGGAAAAAGCGATGCGGTTAGAAATGAGACTTCCACGGCAACACCGAGGCGCTCCGATTTGGATTTGGGGTACGAGCCCGAGGGGAGTGCTTCGCCAACTCCACCCTACCTGAAGTGGGCCGAGTCGCTGCACTCCTTGCTGGATGATCAAGATGGTATAAACCTCTTCAGGACTTTCCTGAAACAGGAGGACTGCGCGGATCTGCTGGACTTCTGGTTTGCCTGCAGTGGCTTCAGGAAGCTGGAGCCGTGCGCGTCTAACGAGGAAAAAAGACTCAAGCTGGCGAAAGCCATTTACAAAAAATACATCCTCGACAACAACGGCATTGTGTCCCGGCAGATCAAACCAGCCACAAAAAGCTTCATCAAAGACTGCGTCATGAAACTGCAGATTGACCCCGACATGTTTGACCAGGCCCAAACGGAGATTCAGTGCATGATAGAAGACAATACCTACCCTTTGTTCCTTAAGTCGGATATTTATTTGGAATACACGAGGACAGGTGGGGAAAGTCCAAAAATTTACAGTGATCCGAGCTCAGGGTCCGGGACAGGTAAAGGGCTGCCCGGTTATCTGCCGACTCTGAACGAGGACGAGGAGTGGAAGTGTGACCAAGAGGCCGAGCCCGAGGCCAGCAGGGACTCGGCGCCTTCCAGCAGGCTCACGCAGAAGTTGCTTCTGGAGACGGCCACCCCGCGAGCGC